AGGAATGCCTCACACACTGAGGGGCAGTTTCATAAAGTTAGGCCTGTTAGGTAACTGGGGAATGAAGACCTAATTTTTCCTAGGAAAGATTTTACACAGCAAAGGGTGCCCCCGAAACTGGATGCATAAAAGCACTTTAATTCTGTCCTTGAAAGTCCTAGAGATGCTTCCTAGGCCAGAGGCAGTGAATGAAAAGGGGGGCGTATCCAGGGAAGATGAGTGGAGGGTGACTCAGTGCGGCTTTGTTGTGGAAGGCGGAACTAAGCTCTGCTCAGCATCCTCAGCCCCTCCCCTCTGATCCCTTCCAGCACAGGGCCACCTCCCTCAGTCAGTCTATCAATCACAATATTTACTGATTGTCCGCCAGGGACCAGGGCTTGGCAGATTTTTCACAGGGCAAATGGGGAGCATAATCAACACAGGAAGCTAAAGATGGACTTAGAGGGTGAACTTTGAAAACATAATATCCACAAGTCTGAATAAAACCTGGCAGTGGTGACGTGTGTGGGCGAGTGGGGGTGGGGTTGAGCATCTCGGTCTGGATTGAATCAAGTGACCAGCAACCTGCCCTCAGTCCTAGTTGGGCTTTTGAGCCTCTAAAACGCTGCAAAACGCTGTAGGGCCTTGCCCTGGCTCTCCCTCTCCTGCCAAGGGCTATGTGACACTTCTGGAACCAACTTCCAATTCTTAAACTATCGCTTCTAATTGTTTTCCAGTTACGAACAGCCTAAGGAACCGGAAGTTGTTAATCTCAGCTGCTGTGAATCCCAGTTTTCTCTCAATGTGGGCAGCTTCCCCAGGTTAACTTCCGAAATCCCTCCTTATCACTCGGGAACACCCTTTGCCACCACTGGTTTTTCGCACGCCTAGCAGAGGGATCTCCTCCTCTTCTGAAGGGCGACCCCTTGGCTGCTGGCCAAGGTCCTAGGGGACGCCCCTTCTCTGGCTGGGGCCTGCCCCCTCGTGTGTCTTTCCGGCCGCGTCCCGGTCTGTCTGCAGCCAGCCTCCGGCCCTTGGCCCGGCTGTGGAACGCCTGGAATGCGCGCGGGGATGCTGGGCGGGGAGAGGACGCGGGGCGCCGGTTCCCTGGGTGGCTGGAGACGCGGAAATGAGGACGAGGCAAACAGTCCCAAAGGCCGGCGCATGGGTCCCGGGTGCGCGGTGTGCCCCGCTGCCTCCCTCTGCGCTCAGCTCAGCCCGGGCCCCCAGGCGGGGGGCGGACCCGTGCTGTCCCATCCGCGTCGCAGAGACCCCGGGCCCGGAGAGTGGCCGAGGATCGAGAAGCGGAAAGAGAAAAAAGTCTCCCCCGGGAACTCCTGAGCGTAGGCCCGCCACCCCTCCTCTCCCAGTTTCTCGTCCAGTCACCCGCC